GGCCGAGCCGCAACCCGACCAGTAACCGGTCCGAGCCGCGACCCGACCAGTAACCGGGCCGAGCCGCGACCCGACCAGTAACCGGGCCGAGCCGCAACCCGACCAGTAACCGCGCCAAGCCGCGACCCGACCAGTAACCGGTCCGAGCCACAACCCGACCAGTAACCGCGCCAAGCCGCGACCCGACCAGTAACCGGGCCGAGCCGCGACCCGACCAGTAACCGCGCCAAGCCGCGACCCGACCAGTAACCGGGCCGAGCCGCGACCCGACCAGTAACCGGCCGAGCCGCGACCCGACCAGTAACCGGGCCGAGCCGTGACCCGACCAGTAACCGGTCCGAGCCGCAACCCGACCAGTAACCGCGCCAAGCCGCGACCCGACCAGTAACCGGGCCGAGCCGCGACCCGACCAGTAACCGGGCCGAGCCGCGACCCGACCAGTAACCGGGCCGAGCCGGGACCCGACCAGTAACCGCGCCCAGCCGCGACCCGACCAGTAACCGGGCCGAGCCGCGACCCGACCAGTAACCGGGCCGAGCCGCGACCCGACCAGTAACCGGGCCGAGCCGTGACCCGACCAGTAACCGGTCCGAGCCGCAACCCGACCAGTAACCGCGCCAAGCCGCGACCCGACCAGTAACCGCGCCGAGCCGCGACCCGACCAGTAACCGGGCCGAGCCAGACCGAGATCCCTCGTGCCCCGGACTGGACTGCCACTGCCTCCTCCTCCTTCCCCTCCTCCCTCCCCCCTCCCTCCCCCCGCCGGCGCCTTGTATCAGATCGTAGCTGTGTCGTGCCCGGCCGTAGACTTTCCTTTCCCGAGGCTGACGATGATGATGTAAACCCTCGTCATTCTTGTTGAAACTAAAATCCGGTCCTGACGCGACATTTCACTGCACATCTGTGACGTCACGGAGGACCGCCCTGTGGCGGGCAAGGTTGCGACACGAGCTCCGCCGAATCAGGGCACGAGCTCCGCCGAATCCGCCGGGCATCCCTCCCTTAGGTCGAGGCAGACGATGGATTGTTTTTCCTCATAATTGGCGCTTTCCTAAAGATGTATTTGGGCTCCGCAAGTATTTTTGGACTTCCTGAGGCTAGTCTCTTCATGAATCGTCATTTCATAGGCGTAATAGTAAAATCTACCATCACGTGGAGTAAGGCCTCAAAAATGTAGAGTTCTTTCGCGATACCTTGCCAGGTATGTGTTACAACAATAGCGTAACGTCGACAACACCAGCAGTGTGTGCCTCGCGCCGACTTCATGAAAGTTCCACTCCATGAATCCATTCATCCTCTTATTTTGGGTCTTAAAGTTCCATTGTGAGTAAACGTACTCTTGATTGTGGTTGTAGTCATGACTTCATCATAAGAGCAGCGGGGTTACATGAATTGGGCCCAAATACCAAGGTTGGTGGCCCCCAAAAATCAGAGATTTCCGGTCGCCATGGGCGCTTAGAGCTGTCACGAGGCCCCGCAGCCTTCGTAAACCCCAGGCCTGCCATGGACTCACAAAATTTTAAGACCCGGTCTTAACTCTGAAATCGGCACGTCCCGCGAACCAGCCAAACCGTCGAAGGTGTCGGTGCCAGGTAACCTGACGAAACCTAATGTCGGCGGAGATTGCCGATTGGAAGCATCGTAATGCCACTGAAGACTGTCTGCGTAACAGGAGGGGAAGCGCTGCATCCATTCAATTGTCAACGTACGCCAGTTTGCCGTCTTCGTGGAAGATCCGACCGCCTCTGTGACCGGAGATGCCTCTCCTTCGTCCTGCCTTTCCTCAGACCGTGACCCTGTGGCGGGCTGCGGTCAGCTGACGCCGCAGGCATCACCTGGCCACGTGACAGGTGAGATACCGGGCGCCTCGGGCACTCCCCGTGCCCCATCGTCACACCAGACACGTGGAGGTGCAGCTAGAACGTGCTGAGTCGCTTCCAAGCGGAATCTGGGTCAAGCCGGACCCCCAAAATGAGGCGAGGAACGGTCTTTATTGGTAGATGTGCGGTAGTTGGGTGCTGTAAATGTATGCGAATATGTAAAATGTGTGAAACAGTGTGTTCCCGTTATGAGAATTGCTGGCTTCGAATGCAAGGTGACAAGGGTTCCACAATTTGTGCGGCTCTGAAAGTGTCCTGACTGACGTGACAATGATGTGTCTGGCCATCCCGGCAGATTAGACATGAGCCAGTTATCGTGCGATAGGACAGAGGCGCTTCGATGAGTGTTTCTGGCCACGACCAAGGGTACAGGATCCGTTATTGATCTTCAAGCCAGTTACGTTAGACTGTTGTCACAATTGAAATCGATTTGAAAAGCAAGAGCGATGTGTAGCTTACTACGTATTTTAAATAAAGGCGTGGCTTGGGTTATGATTGCGACTACGAACAGCCGACGTGGTTGTATACATTTGTTCAGTGTTGGGTGGCAGCTAAGCGCTACTCATCTCAAACCTGGTCCTCAATCCTTTGCAAGATGTAAAGCGGGGAGAACATGAAGCATCTGAAACACGATAAGAGGCGGCTGTAGAGGCGTCGGAATTCCTGGTCGAGGTTTTCAACATGCATGCGGTTTTTGGAGGTATGCGGCAAGCTCGCGGTCTTCTGAGGCTTCTAGCATTCATACAAGTTCTGGAAGTTTTCAGCATGCATACGGATTCTGGAGGCCTCCAGTATGCTTGCAAGTTCTGGAAGTCTTCAGCATGTGTGCGGCATCTGGAGGTCTCCAGTATACTGGCAGGATCTGTAAGTTTTCAGCATGTGTGCGTCTTCTGGAGGTCGTCAGTTCTGAAGAGTGAGGAGTGGGGAAGGGGGGGGGGGTGCTGACCTCCACCCTCGAGCGAACTGGGTGCAGCCCTCGGGCCGGATTGGCTGGCTAAGGCGGCGCCTCTTGCCGGTCGTATGTAACCAGCCCCTCCCGGCGCTGGCCGCCGGTCCTTACGGATAGTGATTTGTCCGCATTTAGTTCTGAGTCGCCTCGCAAGTGACCGTGTTGGGCATGGCCGGGCTGCGCTCTGCGGGTCTGCAGTGCCCTTGCCGAATCCCCCCCCCCCCCCCCCCCCCCTCTGGGACGGCTGGGCGAGTGATTCGACCGGACTGTGGCTCGGATGTCGTGCAGAGGCGCCGCCGCCGCACCTACGAGACTGGAGTCCTTGATCGATAAGACAGCGGCGGAGGTGCAGAGACAGTCGCGGGCTACACTGCTCCACGCTCGAGCAGGGCGTTCCCGTCTCATTGCATCGCGGAAGCGGCCGGCGCGGCGTCGAGTGGGGCGCGGAGCTCGCCACGGCTGCCTGCAGAGCCGCCGGGTCCGCCGTCAGAGCTGCTGACGGGGCGCCAGGTGTGTGCGCAGCCCACTGACACCCAGCGCCTCGCGCCCGTGCCCGAGGCGTTCAGAATGGACAGCCGCCTGTCCAACATCCGAGCGGTGTGGCCGGCCGCGCGGTCGGCGCCACCCACCAGCTGCTCAGCGGCGTGAGCTCGCGGCGGCGGCGGGCTTCGAGGTAGACCGGCTGAGGGAGGCGGAGCGGGACTGACGCGCGCAGGAGCCTCGGGGGCCCGATGCTCTTATCGTCTCTCAGGCGCAGCCGCCTGATTAGCCTCGGGGTCGTCGGAATGGGCGTGATAGTGGGACCGAGGTGCGGTCTGAGTAGCTGCTCGTAGTAACGTACCGTCTGCATACCTGGCATCCGCCCGAAACAGACGTATGTGCCGGATGTGTCGGGAAAGAAAGCGTTTGTATTCCCAGCTTTTGACAGCCTCTATGCCCTAAAAGCTTTTAAAAGAGATGCAATGCCTGCGGGGGAGCTGCAGCTGTGGCTTGCATTTCTAACTTCCTCTTTTTTGTATTCCGTTTGCACTCTGTCCTGGGCGGAAAACCCAACGAGCAACGAAGTGTTGTTTTCTTGAAACAAGCGAGTCACCCCTGCCTGACAGCGGTTGACAGCCGGTTGGTCTGCGTGCGGCTGTATGGTGTCAACGGTCCGGCGCGGGCTGCGGCTGGCTCCGCTCACGCGCCGGGCCGGGGCGGGTCGCGCCGGTGGCACCTGGGGGCGGCCGTGTCGCGCTGGACGGCGGCCAAATACCGGCCCGGTCAGCGCCGGCCGGCGCCGCCGCCGCCGCTGTCCCAACAGCCGCACGCGATGCGCTGATGGTCCCTGACAGTCCCGTTATATACACACGATCCGATAGTGCACCGCTCGCGAGCCCCGTTTCGGACCAGCAACGCCTCGCTGTCCTCGTGAGGACGTGATGTTGGCCGCTGGTTGACGGCAGCGCTGGCCGGTCCGGCTCCGGCCGTGGCGGCGCTGCGCTGTATGTGACGGGACGTGACGCGGCGTCTCGTCGCTCGTGACGCCGTCGGCGGTGCGTGTCGCGTCGGGCGGCGCGGCTGCCTCACGAGCGCCGTCGACTCGTGCGGGCCAACCAACGGAGTGGGAACAGCTCAGAGGCTGGAGTTTGCACGGTTAGCTCCGCTGGCAAACAGCGGGTGCCATTGGACAGATCTTTGACGGTGACGCTGCGCTGCTGCGTGGACATTTGACGGTGCGCCGAAAGGAGCCACGGCACATGCCGTATGTTCCGGATGCACTGGACGGGGCGTGTTGTTGCGTAGATGGGGTGGTACCGTTTGGCATCAGCATCGGCAGCAGCAGCATCACCGGCATCAGCTGGGGCATGCCCTCTGGAATTTATTAATGTTCATGTTGTATTGGTATGGGAATTGAGCTTCCGCGTTTGCACACGGGAAGACAGACAGAGAAGTACAGAGAAGGTTAATGCTTAGTAATTCAACCGAACTAAATCGGCGACGAAACCAGCTTTACAGAGGAACAAAAGAAGCACCATTACACTTTTCTGTGGACTGTAAGCATGCATGCATCGGGGTGGTCTGTGCTAAATTTCCCATGACATTTCGCTGAAGTCAAGTGAAAAACAGAGCATTTCCGTCGCCAAAAATGCTTGGCATGTTTGCATGACTCGGAACCGGCGCGTCGGCAGGCTCGCAGGCGTTCTCCCGGAAGCATCCGCTGGCCACATGGCTGTCGTCCATGTTCGCCATATTCGCCGGCGCGCTGCTGGCCAACTTCCTGCTGGGCGAGCCGGTGCTGGGCGCCGTGAAGAACAACAACCAGCTGCTGGTGGCCACGGCCGTCTGGTCAGTGTGCGCCTCTCGCAGCACCGCTCTCGCACGCGCCGGTGACGGACACTGGATGGAGCCTTCATACGCGTCCGTGGAGATGGGCATAGTGCGCGATAACATCAAATAATATGCGTTGCACAGTTACTATTCGTCTATGTGGATGTGTTTTAAGTTGTGTGTTATGGTCGGAACTGGCTAGATGCGGTTTGTGAATGGGCCACAATATCAACCTAAGTGATTTGCTCTTCGACCCGTATCCGTTAGTTTCTTGTCGCGGCTTGCTATATTGCTAGTTGCGCTATATATATATATATATATATATATATAGATATATATATATATATATATATATATACATCTCGGTACATTCCAGGTACGTGGTGTTTTACTCTCCATTTGACATCGGGTACAAGGTGGTCAAGTTCCTGCCGTTCAAGGTCGTACTGTCCGCCATGAAAGAGGTGAGAGTAATGAATGCGACTGTCTAGACAGCGGTGTGACTGACGTCATTGGTGTGTCGATCTCGCCGCCGCAATGTCAAGCGCAATTTGTTTGCCGTTCTCTCCTCAGCACTGTACGTACGTGATTTTACTGGATGCTATTGTCCGGTCCGCCCTGGCCTGCCGCACGTGCTCCTGCTCTGGATTCCCAGGTGTACAGATGTAAGAAGGTGCACGACGGCATCACCCACGCCGCCAAGCTGTTCCCCAACAGCTATCTCATCATGGTCGTCGTCGGTACTGTCAAGGGCAACGGCGGCGGCTTCGTCAAGATCGTGGAAACGCCTGTTCCGGGCGTGTGGACCCCCACCGCCATGGAAATCATGGGTCCTAGCTTGTGAGTTCATGGCATTGAACGAGTGGGGCGACGGAGGAGTCCCGCTGTGCCTGGCCGGCCACGTTGTGTGAACATCTCAGTTTGAGGCCACATGTGTCAGCTTCCCGGCCAGCGAATCGTAACGATTGCCGGTGAATGTAGGCTGTTGGCGGCTCTACATTCCTGAGTTCGAGCCGTTCACACAGCGCTATCGGCATTGTCGGGCGACTCGTGGGCACAGCTTATTATTTCGCTTGCTCACCGCTTCGCCACACGACGGAGCTGTCGCAGGCGTGTTTGTTGTCTGATATAGGGCCCTGGCTGTTATCTCGGGCGTGGTTTAGCGCGCCGTAGCGGATAATCAAGACTTGTGACTGCCCGCAGCCCGACGAAGGCCTCTATTGCCGCTGCCATCATATTCGTGCTGGATAAGAAGACGGATATCATCTCGGCGCCCCATGCCCTCGTTTACTTCGGCATCACGATCTTCTTCGTCTATTTCAAGGTCAGGCCCTCCACTATCACGCGTCTACCTGGGCGCATAGGCCTGAAGTAGTGCACCATATATATATATATATATATATATATATATATATATATATATATATATATATATATATATATATATATATATATATATATCATACGTCTATCTGTAACGGTCGGTGACTACATGGAGCTGCAAGCTTAATATGGGGCGCCAGCTTAGGTTTGGCTTGTTAAGACTATCTGCGCGATGTTCTAGTTCAGAAACGATAACAGCTTAGCACATTACCGTTTGCCTTTGGGTTTGGGAATGCGCGAGAACTTCCAGCTTCCCAGAAGAGATGATGGGCCGACAAATGTCTGAAACGGTGCATAGATACATCGGTGCCTGCCTCGTGCCGTACACAGCACGCGCATCGCTTCATTTCATCCTTTTGCAATGCATGCGTGATGTAAATGAGGGCCGCTTTGTTGCCTTGTGCCATCAGCTGTCAGACCTGCGGCGTTCTGTGCACGGCTGTTGTGTGACTTGTGGCTGCCTTCTGTCGGCAGACAACCTCCCTCTCCCGCCCTGTGCCTGCACCTACCTGACCTATGGTGAGGTCCGCAGTCCTGGCTCCACCTATCGTCTGATTTGTGACGCTCTCTGTCCACAAATGGGATGTGACCTCTGTCGCTATATGCCCCCATACGTCCCTCCTTCCGCTCTCCCGTCCACATGTACCCTCTGAACTAGCGGGTCTATATAGCAGACCTGTGGGCCCCCGTCCCATCTGTTGCTGGATGGTGGCACCCCTGGCCGGAGCCGCCCCCTGACCTGTGCTGCCATCCAGTGGGGCTGGTGCCGGGTGGCGTCCGCCGCCATCCGCTGGCCGCCTGACCTGTGCTGCCCCCTGTGATGGCTGCTGGTTGCCGTGTGACGTCCGCCACCCGTGTGCTGCACCAGCCGCCGCCTGACCCGTGCTGCCCCCTGTGATGGCTACTGGTGCCGTGTGACGTCCACCACCGTCCGCTGCACCAGCCGCCGCCTGACCTGTGCTGCCCCCTGTGATGGCTACTGGTGCCGTGTGACGTCCACCACCGTCTGCTGCACCAGCCGCCGCCTGACCTGTGCTGCCCCCTGTGATGGCTGCTGGTGCCATGTGACGTGCACCACCGCCCGCGGCACCAGCCGCCGCCTGACTTGCCCCCCCCCCCCCCTGCCTGTTCACAGCTGTCGTCGCTGCTGTTGGGCATCCACGACCCGTTCGTGCCGTTTGAGAACCTGTTCTGCGCCGTGTTCCTGGGCGGCGTGTGGGACTCCCTGCAGCGCGCCGTCTCCGGCGGCAAGGCGGCGCCCGGCGACCCGGTCCGACCTGACGCCAAGCCGGAGGCCGCCAAGAAGAAGGACTGAAGGGGTGCCCTGACGCGGTACGGTCGGCGTCGCCGGCGGGTGTCCTCTGGCCGCCCAGGGCGGGAGGGTGGTGAGGTGCTGGGGGCCTCTGGTTCTCGTGGGTCGCTGCTTGTTCCGATGGCGCTAATGGCGGCTCATTTCATGTATATGCATGCCCGTTGCGGGAATTGTTGACAGTTCGTTGTCAGCATGTTGAACGCTTCTTATCATTTACTATTACACTGGCATCTTGCTCGAGATGCCTTCCCAATGCGTGGTTCTGTTTAATGACAACCGATGTAGATGGTAACGAGTACCCCTCAACAGCGGCTATATTTGGTGTTCCGATGCTGTACAGACATTTTTGTAGAAGCGTTCTCAAATGTATGAGACCGCCTTGAGGG